CCCTTCTTCAGATTTTCTGAAGAAGGGTCTAGGCCCGAAACGTCAGCCTTCCTGCTCTTCTGATGCTGCTTGGCCTGCTGTGTTAATCCAGCTCTACACCTTGTTATCTCAGATTCTCCAGCATCTGCAGTTCCTGCTATCTCTGTATTTAATTTGCCTTCCTTTCCAATATTCCCTAACAGTTTAAACTGTTGCACTTGATCTAACATTTCTTAGATAAATAAGAGCTGGGTAAATGATCTGTAATCAATAAAGTTAACTGATAACGATAAGATACAAGGGTGGAGGGGAAACCCCAGTTCTTACAGCCTTGACCAAGAATAATCAGTAAAGCAAGTCAGGTGAGGGGAAGGTTGCCTGGTGACAGATCAGAGACTTGAGCATCTGGTAAATCCTGTTGAGGATCCCCATTGAAAGATTTATTCATTTACTCAGCCCTGAGAGGTGTGCTTTAAAAACTTTAATCTGTATCTTGAAATTACCTCATTGACTTTGAAAACACCCAGCAAAATATCCAGTTCTGTCTGGTGTCAAATGCAGCAACCAATCTGAAATATGTTAAATTCCGATGAGAATTGGTGTTTCTAGCCTTATACCTCGATTCTGTCATCAGGCAGGGCTTTCCTGTGATGTCTGTTTCATAATTGTTTGCATGTTTAAGGATTTGTTAAGGTATTGCACATACTCTTCTGTCTGTCAAGACCTCAGCAACGTTGATGCTTAGTTAAGGGTGTCGCGTTTCCTGCACACCTGTCTGACAACAGCTCGGCCCCCTCCACATTTGGTCTTGAGGATCCAGTGCAGTGAAAAACTCCCAGTCAGAAATAATTAGTTTACAGTCTACGAGCAACCCCCACTCCTTCTCTCTCACACACACACACACTCACATGGCACAGCTGTCACAGCTCTCCCTTTGTCTCACGTGTACACTAGAGGATATATGCACGTTCACACCGACAAAACACACAAGAGGTTGGGGACAGACTAACAGGGCTCTCCAATACCATTGTAGGATTGGGGTACAGTCTAACTAACACTGCTCATAGACATACAGGAAAAGCCGAGCTGCAGCCAACTACAGCTTCCTCACATTCAGGAACGGGATTGGGGAGCAGTTCCACACAGTTCTCACACACACTGTGTCTCACATTGATGGACAAAAACCTAATTTTCCTGTTTTTTCTCTTTCTTTCTGATTCATTCTACCCGACCTCCAACGGAACCTGCCATTTCCCCATAGAATGGAGGTAAGAGATTTGAATTATTTTGAAAGGTTCATTTTAATGTTCTTGTATCATTTCACTCCTTGTCTAAACAGCAGTTATGAAAGTTTGCATTTACACAGTAAGTAACAAAAACGGCAAATGCCGTCTTTGTCAAAGGATAAAAAAAAATTCTGGAAGGCGCCTGTGTTTTTGAAATCACGAAACACGAGATAAAATCTTATCCACCCAGATGCAATAAAAGTTAAGATTTTGCTGAGTAGTCGCCCGCCCAGCCTACCCTGTTAAATGGGTTCACCTTTGTGACAAATCTTTCTGTTGGCCTCATGGGGCTTGGTGTTTTCCAGGGTCGGCCACAGTAAAATAAATAATATCTTAAGGGGGAATTAAATCAGGGAGTTGTGTTTTGAGGAAGCGGTCAGATGTTTTTTTTGTACGTTCTCCTTGTTTTTGTTCCACTTTTGGAATAAAGGTTACAGCCAGGTCAGGAGGTTGCTGACACAACTTAAAACTTGTAACAGCCGGCATGAATTCTTTACCTCCCGTAGCGTAGCTGTGATGTTACTAGCTCCTGAGTTTGCATATGGGTGTTTGTATCGTACGATTGTGGATTGAACAAGAGTTACTGCCGGATGCTGGAATCTGTACTGAAAGCAAAAAAAAGTGGTAGAAATCACAGCGGGTCAGGCAGCGTCCGTGGGGAGGGAGAGAGACAAAGCTAACGTTAAGTCTGGATGACTCTTCATCGGAGTAGGCTTGAAGTGTGGATTCCAGTGGGACTGTCTGTTCTGCCATTCTCACATTCCGACCACTAAATCTGCACCCTTTCTCCCCCCGCATTTCAACCCACCCCCCCATAGAATAAATGCTGCCCCCTCCACACTTTGTTTCAGCTCTGATGAAGAGTCACCTAGACTCAAAGTGTTAGCTTTCTCCACCTACTTAGCTTGACCAACCAATTTTTATTGCTCAACCATTGATTGTATTATCTCCAACTGCCTGGGCTGTTGGCTGTGGTATTCTTTCTATAAGCCTCCCTGTGCCTCGCTACCTCTCTTCTCTGTTAAGATGCTAGTTGAAACAACCTCTTTGAGCAAGCCTTTGCCTTAATATTTACTTATAATGGGCTTGCAGACAATGAAAACCTGCTGGGATTCTGTAAAGGGTGTGTGGTCTGTGCCACCAGCTACACTCCCTTTTCCAACCAACCACCCTCCCAGCCTGATCATTGACAACTCCTTTGTCTGTCCAAGTGTCTTTCTCACTCTTTGGGCTCTATCCTATCGTTTACCCACTACCCAACCCACCTCCCTATTTTCTGCAGATAAACTGACGTTTTCCCAGCCACCATCAGTTCTGAGGAAGGGTCACTGGACCTGAAACATTAACTCTGTTTTTTCCTTCACAGATGCTGCCAGACCTGCTGAGCTTTTCCAGCAACTTTGTTTTTGTTCCTGCTTTATAGCATCCGCAGTTCTTTTGGTTTTTACCCTAATTTCTTCAAGCTTATAACCATACTGCATAGTCAGCTTTACTGATTGAATGTTTTTATGTATCTCCTAACAATTTCTTCCTCATCATTTCTCAAATTTATGTCAAGTCAAGCCAAGAGAAATTTCAATGATTTTACCTAGGGAAAGATTGTAGGAAAAGTGCGTGTATCTGTGAAAGACAGCAGGCGTTGATAAGGCACTTGTTGAGGCTTTAGTTTTTGTTTGATAAATTCAAGGAGGATATTAAATTGCGAGTAGAGCCTCACCTAAACATTTGTTCTCCTTACTTCAAGAAAAGACTTTGCGTTTCTAATTTCAGATTGTACAAAGGTGACTTGGGCTATTGCAGTACCTATCGTGGTGAGGTATGCAAAGACATACTTGGGAAAGACAAACTCGTTTTCTTCAATTCTTCTTATGCCGATGCAGAGGAGACACAAGAGTCGATGGCCAGGAGTGCGTGGACAGGATTGGATGGCGTCAGCTTGCTGTGCAAACCAGCTGCTGAGGCGTTGCTGTGTCACTTCATTTACCAGGATTGCAACCCATCTGGTTTGGGGCCTGCACCGAAACCAGTGTGTCGGTATGTCCACTGTAGGACTCTTCTCAGCCTGGAAAATTGCAGGGTTCTGAGGAAAGAGCTGCATAATTGAATAACTCTTCCGAAGAGCCAGTCTAGACTAAAAGGACTGCATGGCCTCCTTCTGGGCATCAGATTTTACGATCCTAAGTAACTTTTGTCAGTATTAAACGAACACCACAGACATTTTATTACAGCTTTAAGGCAGCTAGTCGCCCATTACTTTAAAGTAGGTTACTAAAATAAATTAATGCAGGTATGGTATTGCAAATCCAAGTGTCAATAAAACAAGAATTGTCTGAAGCTGGGCAATTTTAAAATCTTTTAAGAGCACAGGCATAGTGCCTGCAGGTTGTTGTCAGAAACGCGTAAGCTAATAACCATTACGACAGTTAATCCAAAAAAATAGTAAGCAGTCAGAGATAAAATTGTTGTACAGGATAGGGCAATGACTTATTTTACTGCCACAATTAAACACAGTTCTGTAGCCTTTTTGAACTGCAAAAAGAGATTAGCCATGGATTTAAATTACTTTCATAATTCAGATGACAAAGTTCAATAAAACAGTCTACAGTTCTCAAGTGTTGACACCAAATATTGAATTGCTGCAAAGTACACATTTGCATTCAACTCTAAGACTACAGTCATTGTAGACATACGAACAAAAATGGGCCATTCAGCCATTGACTCTGTTCTGCCATTCAATGAGACCATGGCTGTTCTGGTAATTCTCAACTCAACTTTCCTGTCTTTTTGCTCATACCCTCAATATCCCTAACTGATTAAAAATCTGTCTGTCTCGGCAATGGAAATACTTAATGACTAGAACGAAACAGCTCTCTGTGGGAAAGAATTCCACAGATTCACTGCCCGCTCAGGGAAGAAATTCCTCCTCATCTCTATCTTATGTATGTGGGCCCTTACTCTGAGATTATGTCCTCTGGTGCTAGACTCTCCCACAAAGGGAAACAGCGTTTCTGCATCTGTCAAGCCCTCTAAGAGTCCTATATATTTCAATAAGGACACCTCACATTCATTTATAGCCCACCAAGTAGAGGACCAAACTACTCAACCTCTCCTCATAAAACAGTTCCTGCACACCTGGTATAGGCCTAGTGAAACTTATTTGGACTGTCTCCAAATGCCAGTATACCTTTCCTTAGATAAGGGGCCTAAAACTGTTCACAGTACTCCACCTGTGGTCTGTCTCTACTTTTATATTCTGAAATAAAGTGCAACATTCCATTTGCCTTCCCTATTACCTCCTGAACTTGGATGCTCGCTGAATATGATTCATGGATGAGGACTTCTAAATCTGTTTGTTCTTGAGCTTTTTGCAGTCTTTTTCCATTTAAATAGTACTCTTCTCCTCTATTCTTCCTGCCAAAATGCAAGGCCTCACACTTCCCCATATTATATTCCATCTGACAAGGCTTTTCACATTTGTTTAACCTGTCCGTATCCTTCCGCAGACTATTTATATCATCCTCACAGTTGCCTTCCCATCTATTTTTGTGTCATCCACAAACTTGGCTGTAGTACATTCACTTTCCACATCTAAATCATTAACACACATTATAAATAATTATGGCTCCAGCACTAATCCCTGTGGCACATCAGTAATTTCACTTTGCCATCCTAAAAATGCTCCCTTATCATACCTCTCTGTCTTCTATTAGTTAGTCAGTCCTCTGTCTATGCTTATGTACTAACTCTGACACCATGGGCTCTTATCTTATTCAGTGTGGTACCTTCCCAAATACCTTCTGAAAATCTACATATATTACATTCACTGCTTCCCCTTTATCTGTCCTGTTTGTTACCTCCTCAAAGAATTCCGGTAAATTTGCCCGGCATGATTTCCCCTTCAGGAAACCGTGCTGACTCTGCTTGATCATATTCATTTCTAAATGCTATTACCTTCTTTATCATAGACTCAACCATTTTCCAATAACAGACATTTAGCTAACTGGCCCATAGTTACCTGTTTTTGTCTCCTTACCTTTCTTAAATATAAGTATTACATTGACAGTTTTCCAATCCTCTGGGACTTCTCCAAAATCAAATGATTCCTGGAAGATTATTACCAGTGTACCCACTATCTCTGCAGCTACTTCCTTTAACATCCTAGGATGTATCCCATCAGGTCTAAGGACATATCCGTCTTTAGCCCAATGAGTTCCCCTAGCACTTTTTCTCTAATGATAGTTATTCTATTTGTTTCCTGTCATTTTGCCCTTGAATATCTAATAATTTTGGAATGCTATCAGTATCTTCTACTGTAAAGATTGATGCAAAGTATTTATTCAACTCCTCTGCCATTTCTTGGATCCACCATTATTATTTCACCAGCCTCATTCTCTAAGGGGCCAAAGTTCACTTTGGCTTATCTCTTTTTTTAATATATTTAAAGAAGTACTTGATTCTATCTTGATATTACTTGCAACTTTACCCCCAAAGTTTATTTTCTCGCTCTTTATTATTATTTCTGTTGTCTTTTGTTGGTTTTTAAGACTTGCCCAATCGTTTGGCTTACCACTAATCTTTGCCACATTGTATGTTTTTTCTTTCAATCTGATGCAATGCTTAACTTCACTGGTTAACCATAGTTGGCCTATTCCCTTCCTAGAATCCTTCTTCCTCACTGGAATACGTCTTTGCTGTGAGTAATGAATGATTTTCTTAAATGCTTACTATTGATTCTCAACCACTTTTGCTGCCAAACTCTTTTCCCAGTCCATTCCTGCCAGCTCTGCCCTCAATTTGGCATAAGTACCTCATGCAAAAGCAAATCTAATTGTTCCCATTTATGGCAAATCTAGAACTGCCTGAACTAAAATCCAACACAGTCCACAGTACCAAGTGTATTGTTTTGGACATCGTTTCTGTAATTAAATCTTAGCAACCTTGAAGAAAGTATTGGCCTGTTGCGTTCTCCACCTTTTACATGTTTGCAAATTCTTACTAAAAGAGAAAGAACTTCATATTTCTACAGTATCTTTCGTGGCCTCAGGACGTACCAAATTAGTTAACTTTCCACGAAATGCTTTGCCATGGATAGCTGTAGTGTAAAAAATATGGGTGTTAACATATACACAAGCAGATGTCACAAATGACAGTGAGTTAAATGGACAGGCAGTCTAATTTCATGATGATTCTCAGGGGATACCCGGAAAAATGAGGAGGACTGGCCTGCTGTTCTTCAATATCATGCTACAGGCTCTATTTGAGAGAGCAAGAAGGGCCCTGGTTTAACATCTTGTCTGAAAGATGGATCGGAGCAGCGCAGGTAGCCTTTAATTCCAAACTGCAATCCCTTTTCCATCTCATTTTGGTTACATTGAGATGGGGATTGTCATCACTAAAAATAGGACGATTGAGAAGGCTATTGGCCCCAGTACTGTGAATAGCACAAATCCCATTCCCATGGAGCTAAGAGGCCTTTTGACCTGTGAATTTGTGAGGACTTACAGAGATCAGATTCCCTATAAAATGTTGCTCGTAATTATAAAAGTCAACCCATGTTTCATTAGGAATGGTGAAAGTTCATGAGTTTTAGGTTCAAGTCGAACTACGTCAGCACTGAAGGATCAAACATCTTTCTACTTTTTACAGCCAGTCTCAGGCCAGTAAGACTGTGAGCCAGATGCAGAACAATATTGTTCCAATAGTGTACCTTAGATGTGTGCTATGGCTCAGCATTCTCTGGCTTTCTGGATCAGAAGATTATGGGTTGATCAAATAGTTACTGAGGGAGTACAGAGCTGACAAGGATGCCACCTTTCAGGTGAAACATCAAAGCTCCAACTACTCCATTCAGTTGGATATAAAAGATGACATGACTCTATTTGAAGATGGACACTGGTGTTTTTGGGGTTTTTTGCAGTGTCCCATTTAATATTTATCAATCAGCGAACACTTAGAAACAGATAATCTGGTGTTTGTCATGGGATCTTGCTGTGTCCAAAAATGGCTGCTGTGTTGTCCACATTACAAGACGGAGTAGGCTTTAAATGTACTTCATTGGCTGTAATCCTCTTTGGATGTCCTCAGCTTTTGGAAGGTATGTTTCTTTAACAAGCCTGTATTTCATTGAAAGTTGCATCACAGGTAGACAGAGTGCTGTTCAGAGTCCTGCCTTTAACTGTATAATTTTCCTTAATATGTGATCTCCCAAAATGCAGCACCTCACACTTACCTGGATTAAACTCCATTTGCCATTTCTCCGCCCATATCTGCAACTGATCTATATCCCGCTATATCCTTTGACAACTTTCTACACTATCTCCAATTCCACTGATCTTTGTTTCATCTGCAAACTTACTAAACCACCCATCTACATTTTCATCCAAGTCAGTTATGGTTTTTGTGAAGGGGCGAAGAAACTGCAGATGCCGGAATCCATGGTAGACAAACAGGAGGCTGGAAGAACACAGCAGGCCAGGCAGCATCTGGAGGAAAGGAGCTGTCAACATTTCAGGTATTACCTTTCTTCAGGGGTCCTGAAGAAGGATAATACCTGAAACGTTGACTGCTCCTTTCCTCCAGGTGCTGCCTGGCCTGTTGTGTTCTTCCAGCCTCCTGTTTGACTCTCATGGTTCTTGCAAAGATTTGTAGCTCGTGGTTGTTGGCTTGCCTGCCAAGCTGGCTGGTTATCGTACAGACATTTCGTCACCATGCTAGGTAACATCATCAGTGTGACCTCTGGTGAAGCTTCATCGGAGGCCGCACTGATGATGTTACCTAGCATGGTGACGAAACGTCTGTATGATAACCGGCCAGCTTGGCGAGCAAGCCAACAACCTCAATTTATATATATCACAAACAGCAGAGGTCCCTGTACGGATCCCTGTGGAACACCATTAGTCACGGACCTCCAGCCTGAAAAACACTCTTCCACCACCTCTGTCTTCTATGGGCAAGTCAGTTCTGAATCCATGCGGCCAAGTCGCCATGGATCCCACGTATCTTAATCTTCTGAATGAGTCTACCATGAAGGACCTTGTCGAAAGCCTTATTAAAACCCATGCAAGCAACATTCACTGCTCTATCCTTATTGATCACCTTCATCACCTCCCTAAAAAAATTCAATCAAGTCAGTAAGACATGACCTGCCCTGTACAAAGACATGCTGACTGTCCCTAATCAGCTATGTTTTTCCAAATGTGTGTAAATCCTATCCTCAAGAATTCTCTCCAATAGCTTCTCAACCACTAGTTTGAGACTCACTGATCTATAGTTTCCTGGATTATCCCTATTTCCCTTCTTGAACAGAGGAACAACATTATCTACTCGCCAGTCCTTCAGGATCTCTCCAGTGCCTAGCAAGGATACAGATTTCTTGGTCAAGACCCCAACAATCTCCTCTCTTGCCTCTCTCAATAACCTGGGGCTAGATACCATTGGGCCCTGGGGACTTATCCACCTTTGCTCTTCAAGAGATCCACCACCACTTCTTTCTTAATCTGAAAATGCCCTTGAATACTAGCATGCTCCACACAAATCTCACTATTCTCCATATCTTTTTCTTGGGTGAATACCGATGCAAAGTACTCATTTAGGATCTCACCCACATTCTCTGCCACCAAGCACAATTTCCGTCCTTTATCCTTAAGTGGTCCTACCTTCTGCCTACCTTCTGCCATTTTCTCTGAAGAAGGGTCTAGGCCCGAAACTTCAGCCTTCCTGCTCCTATGATACTGCTTGTCCTGCTGTGTTCATCCAGCTCTACGCCTTGTTGCCTAGCTATCCGCTTGTTTTTAATGTATCTATAGAATGCCTTGGGATTCTATTCAACCTTACTTGCCAAGATCATTTCATGCCACCCCCCCACCTCTTGTTCTCCTAATTCCCTGCTTGAGTACTTTCCTGCTTTCCTTATATTCCTCATGGGCCCTGTCTGATTTTAGCTTCCTAAACCTTACATATGCTTCTTTTTTCCCTTTTGACTAGATTTACAACCTCCCTTATTATCCAATGGTCCCTTACCTTGCTATCCTTGTCCTTCCTCCTTACTGGAAGATGCCAGTCTTGAACTCACCCCAGCATGTCTTTAAATAGTTCCCACATGTCAAGTGTAGACTTGCCTGATAATAACTCCTCCCAATTAGCAATCAGTAGCTCCTGCCTAATACTGACATAATTTGCCTTCCCCCAATTTAGTACCTTCCTGCAAGGTCCTGACTTATCCTTGTTCGTAGCTATTTTAAAACGTAAGGAGTTGTGATCACTGTTTCCAGAATGCTCTCCCACTGAAAGGTCACCTGGCCAGGCTCATTAGCTGATACAAGGCCCCTCCTCTAGTTGGACTATCCACATACTGTTTCAAAAAACCCTCTTGGATGCACTTAACAAATTCCATCCCATCTAAGCCTCTTGCTCTAAGGGAGTCCTAGTCAATATTGGGAAAGTTAAAGTCACCCACTTATGACAACCCTGTTTTTTCTGCACCTTTCTACAATCAGCCTATATATTTGTTCCTCAATGTCTCGGTGGCTGTTGGGAGGCCTGTGGTATAATCCTACTAGAGTGATCTTATTTTTAAGCTCTACCCATATTGCCTCAGTGAATGAGCCCTCCAGCACGTCCTCTCTGAGTGCAAATGTAACATTCTCCCTGAATAGCAATGCAACTCCTCCACCTCTTTTACCTTCCTCTCTATCTAGTTTAAAACAATGAAACCCTGGAACGTTGAGCAGCCAGTCCTGTCCTTCTCTCAACCAAGTCTCTGTAATGGCCACAGCATCATAGTCCCATATACTGATACAGGCTTTAAGCTCATTTGCCTTACCTCTAACAGGAAGGATTTAGAAGGGTATGGGCCAAGTGCAGACAAATGGGATTAATTTAGTTTAGGAAACTTGGTTGACATGGATGAGTTGGACTGATGGGTCTGTTTCTGTGCTGTATGACTCTATGACTTTAAGAGCACATCCTCCCATTGCTGCAATAAAACCTTATTGATTTTCCACATCAGCCATTCCCTCTGAATGTTATCATCAATTTACTGTCAATTCTTCCCAATTAGATTTTTTTTTCTTTGAATTGGACTGAAGACAAGATTAAAATTGCATCAGGCCTGACATGAACTTTGGCTCTTGCAGCCAACATGAAAGGAAAAAAATGAAAGACTCATCCAATCAGCCTGGAATACATTCAGGTCTTGGTTCCAGAGGAGGAAGCCATGTGCTTCAGTCCACTTTATGACCCAGGGCTTTGGCCACATCTGTTTCCCATTCATTACACACCAGCAGAATAATCTTCTCTAAATGTACCGTATTCAGAGTATTAAACTGTAACTTCCTAGTCAATGAGATGTTTTTCTGAATAAATGGTGTAAATTGCCTTTTGACTCTATTGGTTACAACTAATCAAGCTGGAAGAATGAAGATTTTATTGCTTTCCTTCCTAAGTATCTAGGTGGTTCAGTTATAGGTCCCATTTCAGAGACCGTGAACATACCATCTCGACTAACACTCCAGTGGCAGAGCTCAGTGGGGGCTGTCATTTGGTTGAGATGTTAAGACATTATCTCATTCAGATATATGTACAATATCTCACAGTACTATTCAAAGAATGGGCTAATTCTCTCCAAAGACCTTGCCATAAAATTAGTTCTCAACTCAAATTATCTCATCCTCATCACATTGCTGTTTGTGGGATCTTGGCTGTGCAAAAAAGTGGCTACCACGTTTCCTACATTACAACAGTGAAGTGAAGTATGTCATCGGCTATAAAGAACTTTGGGTCATCCTGACATCTGAAAGGTACTATATAAATTCACTTTTTTTACCCACCTATCTAGGAATTGTGGAGTTTTTTTCAACATGAACTCCAAACCAAACTTGTTCCTTTTTTAAAGTCACTTTTTTTCTAAAATGATCCTAAGGTTAAACATTGGATATTTCTTTATTACAGTGAACACTGCCTGGCAGTGAAAGAGCTTTATTGCTACAAAGAGTGGCTCTCAATGGAAGAACATTCACGCAAAGGAATTTACTCTGCAGGTCTGAAGCTACCTGACTGTGGCAGGCTTCCTAGCCTACACCAGAATCCAGATGCATGCACTAAAGTCTCATTTCTTGGTAAGCATTATCTGTTTGAAAGGAAACAGATCAAATATATCATTAGCAATTTGCAAGTTAATATCAAATATCAAACAATAGATAATGATTCTAGCTGGCTAATTGGTTTTCCATTATGTTTGCAGGCGTGAAGAGAGGACTCATTACCAGTGAGTGAATGCCATTCTATTTTATACTGTAACATCTTCCAAATGAATTTAAATAAATTTATTGAATAGTGTTAATTAACACATATAGTGCATTCTATAAATAGGTTTGCTTCTACCTTTCCTTTGTGGCAGCTTTAAATAAGAAATTATTTTGGCACATTTTGTGATTTTGTAATCGTGGCCCAAATCCTGCAGGACTCAAATTTCAAATTCTTGGTGGATCAGAACTGTTTCTGCTTCATCAAAAATGGAAGTCCTGCTTCAGGTTTTACAGTGGCTTCCATCTTTCATATGACAAACCTATAGTGTGGGAGAGAATTCATGACCAGTATCTTATTCCGAATTGTGGAATTCAGGACGCAAATTAGCAATATCTACTCTCACTGTTTACAAACATAGAATCCCTACAGTGTGGAAGCAGGCCATTCAGACCATTGAGCCCACGCCAACTCTCTGAAGAGCACCCCACCCTATCCCTGTAACCCTGCATTCTCCATGGCTAACCAACATGGACACTATGGGCAATTTAGCATGGCCAATCTACCTAACCTGCACACCTTTGGACTGTGGGAGGAAACCAGAGCACCCGGAGGAAACCCATGCAGACCCAGTGAGAATTTGTGAACTCCACGCAGACAGTCGCCTGAGGGTGGAATCAAACCCAGTCCCCTGGTGCTGTGAGGCAGCAGTGCTAACCACTGAGTCACCAAGGGGAAAGTTTACCACCAGAGCTGATCTGCTAACAATCTAACCAAAGCATACATTTATTAATCGGTTTCATTTTTTCTGCTGCTTCTATTGATGTATTGCGAATGTTCCTGTATCAACCATGAGTGTTCATGTCATTATTAGAAAGAATTGTTTAGAAGGAATGGAGTGTAGAAACAAACGTAGGTAAATTCTTGGCTGTAATATCCTTGTGTAACCTTGCATATCCAATTCATAGGTTCAGCTGTCTGGAATTTATGTTGGGGTTTGAATGTATGACTGATTTGTCATCCCAAATGGGTACTGTGCATTGGACTAAGGTCCACAGTACACTATCAGTACAGAAATCTCTTGGTTAGGAGCACTAAGACTCCAATTAGCCTGAGTCCAAGTGCTTCACCAATCAGCCACCTACTAACACAATGTGGACCATGGCTAGACACTCCCCCATTGCTTACTTAGATGCCAGTCTGTGCACACAGGAGTAGCTTTCTCACCCTGTCCCTCAGATGAAACCTTTTGGATTTAAACTTTACTTCAGAGAAATGATCCCAGGATGACATGTCCAGTGTGGTCTTTCGGATGAGATGTTAAACTAAGGCATTTTTGTCACTTGTGTTGTACATAAAACATTCCAAGACTATTGAGAAAACAGAGTAGAAGACTTCTCCCTTTGTATTCAGCCACATTTATTCCACAAAATACATCACTGAAACCAATTTCCATAATTACAAAGGAATGAGTGTAGAGCTGGCTAGAGGGGACTGGGAAAGGAGTTTAGCAGAAAAGACGGTTGACAATCAATGGCAAATGTTTAAGAAAATCATTCATGACTCACAGCAAAGATATATTCCAGTGAAGGAAAAGGATTCTAGGAAAGAGATAAGCCAACTATGATGAACCAGTGAAGTTGAGCACAACATCAGTCTAAAGAAAAAACATACAATGTGACAAAGATTAGTGGTAAGCCAAATGATTGGAAAAGTTTTAAAAACCAACAAAAGACAATCAAAACAATAATAATGTGGAAGAAAGTAAACTTTGTGGATAAACCCAGAAGTAACATCAAGATAGAAGGCAAGTGCTTCTTTAAATATATAAAAAGGAAAAGAGAAGCCAAAGTGAACATTGTTCCCTTAGAGAATCAGGCTGTGGAAATAATAATGGGGGAACCGAGAAATGGCCGGGGAGTTGAATAAATACTTTGCATCAGTCTTCACAGTAGAAGACACTGATAACATTCCAAAATTACTAAATATTCAAGGGCAAAATGAGGAGAGGAAATAAATAGAATAACTAGTGCTAGAGAAAAGTGCTGGGGGAACAAATTGGGATAAAGACTGTTAAGCCCCCTGGGCCCATTGGGATGCATTCAAAGATATTAAAGGAAGTAGGTACAGAGATAGTCGATACAGTGGTAATAATTTTCGAGCAATCCTCAGATTCTGGAGAAGTCAGAGAGGATTGGAAAACTGCCAATGTAATACCTAAATTGAAAAAATGGAAGGAGATAAAAGTAGTATCTATGGGCTAGCTAGCTTAATGTCTGCTTTTGGAAAATGTTAGAGTCAATTATAAAGAATGTAAGGCCAAAACATTTAGAACTACAAAACTACATATATGAACAAGCAGAGTCAGCATAGGTATTTGCTAAGGGGCCACACTTAATAAGATAAGAGCCCATGGTGTTGGAGGCAGTATATAAACATGGACAGAGGATTTGGTAACTATTAGAAGACAGAGAAATGCAATAGACAGACATTTCTGTGGCCGCAAACAAGAGTCCAGCTGGTGTGTTGCCTCCCTGGTGCTAGGCTCCTGGATGTCTCGGAGCGGTTACAGGACATTCTGGAGGGGAGGGTGAACAGCCAGTGGCCATAGTACACATTGGTACTAATGACGTGGGTAAAAAAGAAGGATGAGGTCCTAAAAGCAGAATATAGAGAACTAGGAAGAAAGTTGAAATGTAGGACGTCAAAGGTAGTTATCTCAGGATTACTACCAGTGCCACATGCTAGTCAGAGTAGAAACAGCAGGGTGAACACATGGCTGAAAAGATAATGTGAGGGGAAGGATTTCAGATTCATGGGGCATTGGGACTGGTTCTGGGGGAGGTGTGACCTGTACAAACTGGATGGGTTACACCTGGGCAGGACCAAGACTGATGTCCTTCGGAGGATACTTGGTAAAATGGTGGTGAGGGTTTAAACTAGTGTGGCAGGGGGATGGCAACCAGAGGAGTAGGGTAATGGATGCAGAAATTGAGGGAGAGGTAGAAACCAGGCAAACATTACTAAGAACAAGAACAGGCAGGGAAACGCTGCTGAGAAAGGCAAGGGATGTGGTCTGAAATGCATGTGTTTCAGTGCGACAAGTATAATAGGTGCAGTAGATGAACTTAGAGCTTTGGTTAATACTTGGAACTATGACATTATTGCGATTACAGAGACTTGGCTGAAAGAGGGTCAGGACTAGCACCTGAATGTCCCAGGTTGTAGATGTTTCAGGTGCGATAGAAAGGGAGGTAAAAGGGGTGGGGGAGTTGCATTACTGGTAAAGGTATATCTTACAGCTGTACTGAGGGAGGATACATCAGAGGACTCCTGTAGTGAGGCAATATGGGTAGAACTCTGGAATAGAAAAGATGAAATCACAGTGCTGGGAGTATAGTGCAGGCCTCCCAACAGCCAGTGGGAGATAGAGGAGAGAATATGTAGACGGATCTTGGAAAGATGTAAAAATAACAGGGTTGTTGTGGTGGGTGATTTTAACTTCCCCTATGTTGACTGGGACTCACTATGTGCTAGGGGCTTAGATGGGGCAGAATTTGTAAGGACCATTCAGGAGAGATTCTTGACAAAATATGTAAACAGTCCAACCAGGGAAGGGATTATACTGGACCTGGTTTTAGGAAATGAGCCTGGCCAGGTGAGTGAAATTTCAGTGGGGGAGCATTTCAGGGGTAGTGACGATAATACCATGAGTTTTAAGCTACTCATGAGTGGGGGTAACAGCAGTCCTTGGGTAAAGATGTTAAATTGGGGTAAGGTGAGCTGCAACAATATTAGGCAGGAACTGCAGAATTTTGATTGGAGGCGGCTGTTTGAGGGTAAATCTATATCGGACATTGGGAATATTTCAAATGATAGTTGATAAGAGTTCAGGAGCTGCACGTTCCTGCGAGAATGAAGGATAGGTATGGCAAGTTATGTGAACCTTGGATGACCAGGGATGTTATAACATCAGTCAAAAAGTAAAAGGAAGCATACATAAGGTCTAGGAGGATGGAAACTGATGAAGCCTTGGAAGTATATAAGGAAAGTGGGAAAGAACTTAAGCAACGAATTAGAAGGGCTAAAAGGGGTCATGAAAAGTCATTAGCAAACTGGATTAAGGAGAACCCCAAGGCTTTTTACACATATGCAAAAAGCAAGAGGGTAACCTGGGAAAGAGTTGGCCCATTCAAGGACAAAGAAGGGAATCTATGTGTAGAGCCAGATGATGTAGGTGAAGTCCTAAATGAATACTTTGTGTCAGTATTCACCAAAGAGAAGGAATTGGTGGAGGATGATGTCAGGGAAGGGAGTGTCGAGTATCAAAGCCAAGTTGCTATTAAAAAGGAACGGGTGTTGTGCATCTTAAAAAGTATGAAGGTAGATAGGTCCCCAGGTCCTGATGGGATCTATCCCAGAATATTGACGGAGGCAAGAGAACAAATTGCTGGAGCATTAACAGGCATCTTTGTATCCTCTTTGGCCACAGGTGAGGTCCCAGAGGACTGGAAAATAGCCAATGTTGTAGCATTGTTTAAGAAGGGTAGCAGGGATAATCCTACAAACTACAAGCCTGTGAGTCTCATATTGGTGGTAGGGAAATTATTGGGAAAGATTCTCGGGGAAAAGATCTATTCGCATTTAGAAGCAAATGGACATATTAGCGATAGACAGCATGGTTTTGTGCGGTGGAGATCGTGCCTCACTAACTTGATTGAGTTTTTTGAAGAGGTGATAAAGATGATTGATGAGGGAAAAGTGGTTCATGTTGTCTACATGGTCTTCAGTAAAGCATTTGACAAGGTCCCTCATGGCAGATTGGTACATAGTATCAGGGGTGAGCTGGCAAGATGGATATAGAACTGGCTTAGTAGTAGGAGACAGAGGGTAGCGGTGAAAGAATGCCTTTTGGAAGAGAGGGCTGTGACTAGTGGTGTTCCACAGGGATCAGTCCTGGGAGCTCCGCTGTTCGTGATCTACAAAAATGATTTAGAGGAAAATGTGGTTGGTCTAATGAGT